ATTCTTTTGAAATATTTGCAAACTTTTGCAATTAATTATTATTAATCATGACGCAAGTTAGCAATGATATCTAATTAATACTTTATATGGCGGTTAATAAATGTTTTGAAATCTACGAAGTTGATCAATAGATAAAATGTTTAAAAATTACCTAGTTCTTTAAAAAATGGGAACCCGCTATTTTTTAGTCTTGCATTCTTAATTTGGTATTAATAAAAAGCAATCTTTTCATTAATACCAAAATAAGAATGCGAGACTACAAAATAGCGAGTTCCAATTATTTAAACGTAAAAAAATATATAACCTTGTTTCAAATAAAATACTTTTTTTGATAATAAATTTATTTTTTGCGAGTAACCACTAATTAAGTTTGAATTTTATAAAAAGTAAAAAAAGGAATCAAAAATAAGAAAACGGTCGGCACAAGACTTAAAAATCAATAAATTGTTTAGTCAGTAAGACATTAAGCGCAAAATTTTCAAAGGGTTGATGTTTGAGGAAAGCCTAATTAAATAGCTTATGGCTTATAAAATTCTTCAGCTACTTTTTTATGGATAGACGTTTACATCAATATTAATTATTCTACCTCCTAATTGAATTGTATAAAAAATCTTTAGCCCAAACAACTCTTGTGGCATTAGCATTATACATATTTTTAAAAAAATTCTTTAATATAATCTTAAAATTTATTCAATAAAACACGTGAATTCTAATGATATGCTCGAAAATTAGAAATAGGGGGAGGGGGCAAGTTGATCCGGGGGCAAATTTGATACAAAGGTAATATAACAGCTATTACAATAATTGTGTGAATAAGATTTGGTACGGGAAATAGCTTTTTAGTTCCCTAACGTCCGATGTAAAAAGATTTCCGCTCATTTCATAGTTGATCAAGCTGGGAAGCATTTTGTAAATCGAGCAACTTTTGAAAAAAACTGACAACGTGTTTTGTTATAGATTTTACAAAAAAGATAAGTACATTTAGCTCATCAACCCTTCCATAAGTTTAAGAAAACATTGCTAAATGATTTTACATATGTCATTTGTTTGTTCGTTACTTCTGTTAAAATTTAACTTAATGCAACGCGGTCTAAAGCGGCACGTTGATACAGATCAATTGGAGCAAATTGATATACTGTATCATCTTACCCCTTTGGTAAAGCATTTGAATATGGCCAAAAATATTTTTGTTTTTGTGTTTGCATTAATGCAATTAAATTGTTTGGTATAGACTAATGTTTTTTTTTTCTCTCGCAGAGATAGTAAATAGGGAAATAACCTTAATAAAATAGTGTTAGGCCTACTTTACAATTTGGGTATAATACTAACTGTTCAAAGCTAAGTGCTAAATTTCCAATAAATAAAACTATTAAACATTGCAACAGCAACAATTCACCAGTTATGTGCATGTGTTTTAAACATATGTTCTTGAGGAGCATAAAAAGTTTTATATAGCTGTAATTGGGGTGCTATTTGAAAAATTATTCTTTGATACAAATGGTAGGTGTAATGGAGCATGAATTATAAAAAATGATATATTTAATGGAACTTGAATTATGGAAAATGTTATATATAACGAAACTTGGATTTGCTTACCCCAGTTCCTTTATATATATATACCATTAGCAGTGCGTACCTTAACTTACAGTATAGAGTTATGTTAAAACAATTATCCATTAATAAAAAAAACTAAATATAATAGGAAGGAGTGTGGTAAAATCATTGTTAAATGTTTTTAAGTGCAATTAGAACTATATAAATTCCCTATTTAAATTCTAAAAAATATCAAATTATTGGAGAGAGTTGTATTGAATAAATCTTTTGATAAATAAGAATTTAAAAACCTGTTATATTTGATTTACTTTGGTTTAAATGATATCTAACAAACAGAAACAATTTTTATACTATGATCAAAATAAAATAACTTAACATACTACATAATTAACAGGGTTCCTTGAGGCGCGATTAAGAACCGCTATTGTCTCTATTGTACATAGCAATCTATTTTTTATTTGCTTATAAATCCAACCTTTTTTCTCACAAAAATGTTTAAATACTTTTTAAAACAGATAGCAAACAGTTTTGTTAAGTTAATGAGTGTATAGGCTTGCCTTTTTTTCTTTATTGTTTTAATTAATAATTAAGTATGATCATGTCGTCAACGTAATGATAAATTGAAATAAAAATAGGCTTTGATTTGTCAAACTATTTGATTATATTGAACATTTTATTTCTTAATAGTTGAAATAATAGTTAACGTAAACCAATAAAGTTTAAACGGAAGGAAGATAAAGAGCGGAGTTCTGAAATTTTTTTAATTTATTAATAATTTAAATTTTAGGCGCTGCTTCATTTTCGGCAACTTTTCCGTATGTGTGTATGTGTATACATATATACATAATAAATATTTATTGACCATTACAGATATAGTGCCCATAAATAGATAATTCGTTAGACACTAACGATACCTTGGTGTAAAAATGGGCCAAAATACATCAGTAGTAGGACATACTTCTTTTAAGCTTTGAAACTTTGAGTATTTATATCTCCTAAGAACAATACTTGCACATAGTTTCTTAAAGTGTTTTTGAAAGCTACAAAGACAAACAGTGATTGTATGTTTTAAAGATTATGTATATGCAAGCAATGGTTAAGGTAAAATAAGTTGGGGATAGGCTAAAACAGATATTACGGGTTATTAAGGCAGCCAGAATCAGAATTTTTTAAAAGTTGTGGGAGAGGGGATATTGCTCTTCCCTGCCTCCTCCCCTGTTCCTACGCCAGTGCATGCAAGAGCTTGGGAATAAAAGCCAAAATATATAATTTTTTACAGTTAATGCGCTTTGCTAGATTACCCATACCAATCGTGGCTTTTGGTCTGCCATGAAAAAACAAATTATTTGGTTTCCTTAAACATGTATCTTCCAATATGTGAAAAAAATAATCTTTGTGCTTAGGTCCTACAGGAGTCCTTGAGGTTTTACAGGAGTCCTTGAGGTTTGCCAAATTTTCTCTTTCAAAATACTCTAACTACGGTATAGATATGATCAGAAAGAGCTAGTTTACACCTAATGAAACTATTTAATGTAATTAAAACTTGATTCCAGACATTTTTACATTGAATTTGTACAAGAGTACTTTTAAAAAACACGTTTTTAAGCTTTTGAAGTAAGATAAAATAAGTTGGTGTTATTGCATCAGTCCAACACACAACGTCAAAAGATAAAAATTGTTGCAGAATTTCTTTATCGAGTCATTTTAAACAGCTTTTTTCAGATACAGTAGAATATATCACACAAAAAAAATAAATATCATTATCATTAACCTAATGGTTGTGTTATAAACAGGGCTGGCGCAAAGGCCATGCGAGTTATGCGGTCGCATAGGGCGCCGGCCCTTATCATTTTTTTTTTATTAAATGTCATTTTTTTTATTAAATGTCATTTTTTTTATTAAATGTCATTTTTTTTATTAAATGTCATTTTTTTTATTAAATGTCATTTTTTTTATTAAATGTCATTTTTTTTATTAAATGTCATTTTTTTTATTAAATGTCATTTTTTTTATTTAAATCATTAAAATTTTAAATTTCGATTTCAAAAAAAAAAATTTAAAAAAAATAAATTTAAAAAAACAAATTTAAAAAAAATAAATTTAAAAAAAATAAATTTAAAAAAAATAAATTTAAAAAAAATAAATTTAAAAAAAATAAATTTAAAAAAAATAAATTTAAAAAAAATAAATTTAAAAAAAATAAATTTAAAAAAAATAAATTTAAAAAAAATAAATTTAAAAAAAATAAATTTAAAAAAATAAATTAAAAAAAAATAAATTAAAAAAAAAAAAATTTAAAAAAAATAAATAAATAAAAAATAAATTTAGATTTTTTAACGTCCGTAATGTGTATATGTACTGAGTTGTTTACATATTAGGGGCGCCAAACTTTTTACATTTTTTCATAGTACTTCAATGAAAAAATAATTTGATCGAGGATAGTAGTTAATTATTTGTTTGAAAGAATAAGTTTGTGAGTTAATTGTTTATTTAAATATTGTTAAATGTATATTTAATTTTAAACTAACATTAAGGGGCGCAAAAGTTTTTATTTTATTTTATTGATTTTGTATGTATTTGCTTCTGCATTTCAATGAAAAAAATAATTACAGCAAAAAGTAGTTGTTAGTTAATTATTTGAAAGAATAAGTTTTTGAGTCATCATGGCGGAAAAAAAAGAAACCTTTGGGTTTTTTTTTTATATAAAACGCAAATCAGATATGCAGAGAGAGGATAAAAAACAAACGAATACAATGATTAAATTTTTCTTTAGACTGGAAAAACAAGATCATAACAAACAAAAAATAAAACAACTTGTACTCTAAGCTTACAGTTTTGTTATAAAAAACAAAACTGTAAAAAATTACACTACTAGTTATTAGAGATGAAAAATAGCTGCTTCTAAGCATATCTGTACCCTTGTTAGGGTACAGATATGCTTAGAAGTATTATGTTAGGGTATTAGGTTAGTTGAAAATTGTTTGAGGTAAACTAGCAAACCTAGCATCTTTTACTGGGTCCTTGCATGTATATAATTATTTTTGCCTACAATCAATGCATGCCTTTGTGTTTTTCAAAAAACTTTACGAATGTACAAATAAAGGCCTAAGGAGATAACGCCTAAAGTAAGGGTAAAACTTAAAACTCAGCGGTTTCGAACCATGATTTCTAAATAACAAAAAGTGTATTTTTTATTTTTAATGTAGAAATCTATCCAAGAAGAAGAATAAAAAAGAAATATGTCTCTCAAACTCATGTTGCTAAAAATACCCCTCAAAGTAGCAAATGCACTCCATGCACAAATATTTTCACAAATTAAGCCAAATTTCAGGACCCCGACATCTTTGCAATAAATGGGAGTTTTTTAAAAAAAAATGACAGATGACCTGTCATTTTATTTTCTAAAAAAAATTATTTTCTACAAAATATTTAAAAATGAAGACAATGTGAAGACACCAGACCTTGTCTATGTTTCTCAGATAATGGCTCTTAAAGACCTTCATATTAAGAAGATTTTAAAGTGAATGAAGACAATGAGTAAATTTCTGAATCAAGGAAAATGATTTAACTCTGACATAAATTTAATATTTTTTTTTTTTTTTTTTTAGCTTAAAGGTGCTCTTAATTAAATCGATTGAACCAGGAATATCTTAGTTCTTAACCAAAACTCAAACCACTGCACCATGGCTGCTTATACTCTTCATCATGTCATATTTTATAATATTCATCATATGTCATACTTTATATTATTCATCATATGCACAAATTTCCTCGCAGATTCCGATAAATGCAATCACATCTATGCGAGTTGCTCTGTTTTTTTTTATATTGATACTTTTTTCATTTTATGGCAACTACTGCTTGTCTTTTTTTTTCAACGAGTAATTGATCAGGGCTGTGCTACATTTTAATTTGTGAGTAACTGGCCTGTTTTTTAAAAAAGACTGTCTGCTCACTAAAGACCCGTTCGGACTACGAGTAAGTTAATTTGTAGAAAACAAAAGTAAGTAAAAGTAAAAGAAGGAGTGGTGTTAAAAAAGTAGCATTGAGAAAAACGAACAGATAATCTATTACAGTTTCAAATGTACAATTTATCTTGATCTATAAGAGTTAGTTATATGAGTGCGATTTCTGTGCAAAACACGAAATCAAAAAAAAATATCAAAAGAATAGTAAATATCATGAAATATAGAGTAAAACATATCTAAACATAAAACAGTAAACAAATAGAGTAAATTAAATATAAGACAAACGTAATTTATAGTTTTTAAGTGCTTTAAATCTAAAGAACTCATATATCACGATATATCTAAAGAAAGAGTGTTAAATTTGTAACAAGTATTTTGATGAACATTGTTTCAAAACATATTGTTCTAAAACAAGTTGTTCTAAAAGACATCGTTCTAAAACAGTGCTTGTAAATTTTAAAAATATAATCAAACTCGTTAGCTGGACAAATGTATATTTAAAAAATAGGAGGCGCTAGTTAGTTGTTTTTAAAACACCTTAACAATAACCGGATTTTGCTGTGACACTAAATTTTGCTCTTTCTTTACAGGAATTAAGGCGGAACATTTATAAATAAAAAAACAACAAATAAACAATAAATATTAAACTAGAATTAAAAAACTATTAATATGCCAACTATGCTTAAGAATGGAATAATGTTAAAACAAAAAATGTTAAAACATTTCTTTAAATATTTTATAAAATTAAATTTTATAACTTTCTTTAAGTATTCTGATTATAATTAAACAGGTGTGTTTTATAGAAAAATAGCAACTTAACTATTTTATTCGATATAAAAATTCATTATGCAAAACTGATTGGTTTTAACATTCAAGTTGTCGCATTTGAAAATAAAAGCAATACAAAAAGCGAAAGTTATGCGTTTGTCTGTTTTACTGGATCAATAATCATTACGTCATATTAAGTATCATTCCCATTGTATCAAAGTGTAAAAAGTAATTAATTGAAAACTTTTATCAAATTCCAGTAATAATTTGTTTAATAATTTTTAATTTAAGTTTTAATCATTACACAACGTTAGTATGAAGAATTTACGAAGAATTTACGTAACAATCGTTTTGAACCATTTCTTTTTTTTTAAATCTTATGGTTTGAATATTACCACGGTCAGCAAAAAATTGTTTAATGAGCAATCGACAATAGAGTGAGTAACTCTTTTTTACCTTTTATCTTAACATTAATTGTTTTTAAACGTTTAAACTGATTTTTGTTTTTGAAGAGTTATTGTACATGTACACATGTTTTTAAAACAATGTCCATATGAACGATAAAAAAAACGAACGATGTAATTGCAAACAATATACAAACTGTAATTTGTGTATTTGCAATTGCATAAATTGTAATTATAAAACGAATGATGTCATGAGAAAATGAAAGCTTTGCTTAGAAAAAGTAAAATGTAAGTTGTGGAAGTTGTAATTAAGAAACGTAAGATTTAATTGCAAATGTTTTATATGGTATTAGAAACTCCTAAGATGTAATTGCAAAATACATAGTTTGACTGAACTCCTTTTAATATTAGCCAATATCTGCATACATATTCTCACATGTTCACCCGTTATAATAAAATAAAAAGTCATTAAAATGCAATTTGGCGTTTGGATACATGGTAATAACCAGAAAAATTTGAAGTATGTCAATTAGAACCATGTCATGAGTTTAATTAAGAATTGAGTCATGAATTGGGTAGTTTTAAACAGATAACCCAGCGATTCAAGTATGAATAATAAATTAATTTCAAATTATTTATTTACAAAAATAATAAGATTAAATTTAAACTAGGGCCCTGAGAATTGGCAGTTTTTATTTCGAATCGAATCTCGAATCAAAGCAGGTTTTGATTCGCGATTCGAATCACGTTTCGAATCAACATTTTGAAGTTTAAATTTAAGCATTTTTTATTTAATAATATATATTTAAAAATAAAATAATATAAAACAGTTGTATAATCTCTTTATTGATTCTTCTTGCCTTGGTTAACCTTTTTAATGACTAATAAAAAAGGTATTTAAGCATAAGTAACGTTATTTTGCTTGCGCCTCAGCGCATATTATCTTAAAAACCCACCACAAAAACAAAATAAGTAAGGATTCAAGTTTTGAAAATTTTCGAACTGTATCTAATCATATTTTTGATTCGATTCAATTCGAAATTTCGAAGCTTCGCAGAGCCCTAGTTTAAACACCAAAATGCGAAGTTTAGTTAAATACCAACTTGGATGTCTTTCATATTTAAAACTATGGTGGTTTTGTTTTGCACATGTAAAATTATCTCCTATTATTTGATTTTTTTACCGTGCAGCAACTTTGAAATTTACTACACAACTTTAAAATTTGCTACGCAACTGTGAAATTCAATTTGAAAAAAAAACTGTGAAACGTACTACGCAACTGTAAAACTTATTACTCAACTTTGAAACTTACTATGCAATAAAAATATTTTCTAAATCTATTTTTGGAGAGTGAAGATAATCTGTTCACAATTCCAAATATAGATGGTTAAATGCGGTTTGAACTTTTAACGTTATTTTTAATTTTGAATCATGAGTTTCACTGGGTTTAATAATAAACATTATGGTCCGAAACGTAAAAACTGAGCACGCACTTTTAAAACAAGAATGACGATGAAAATTATCTGTTACCAGTACTATATTTAGAGAAGAGTGAGGATAATTAGGCATAGAGTTATTTGGACCAACCCCTCTAAAGCTCAAATAAGACATCCAGTGCAGTCTTGTACATTATTTAACACATTGATTTTGCTACCTTTACACAAAAACTATTTTCTCGCACTTCCAATAAAAACCAACTTTCTTACAAGGATTTTTTGTTTTCAAGCCAGATTTTCACGTCCACTCTTTTTTTTTTTTTTTTTTTGCTATATAAATTTATTCAAGTCATAAACCATAATATAAAAACAAATAGCAGGGGCAAGGAGAATACATAATTTGTCTTATCACCAAGTTCTTTAGTCTATACCGTAAATATAAAACAACAAATACTAAAAAACGTAACATTATATAATATAAAAATTTTCTAAAGACTTGATAAAATAAAAATCATCGGTCCTAAAGTAAACTTTTGTTTTTGTATCAATTAATAAAAAATTAATTAAAAGAAAGTAATTAGTACAACGAAACTTATTACTGAAAACAAATATTAGCTTTAGGTTTATGCAACCAAACCTAAAGCTTTTCTTTTACACCAACATGCTGGTCTATAACGATCTTAGAAAAGAATTGTGCCACTTGTTATTGCTTCAGTTCTTCTTTTTCTTTGTTTTGTTCTTTTTTTCTTTGTTCTTTTTTTTTTGTTTTGACTTTCTTTTAACCCGTCAACTTTTTATTTTTGTGACCTCACTATTTTCTTTTATCTTGTTATTAATTTCTTTCGCTTTTTTCTTTAATAGTTCTAATTTACCTGAGATAATATCATCATTTTCATGAATCAATTTCTGCACTTCACTGCATTCAGTTACCAACAACGTAATTACCAACGGATTTATTTGTTAATTTAAGCTCATTGTAATGTTAATTATTTTAATTAAATTATCAATATTATCTTTATCATTCTTATCAAATCGTTCAGTAATAAGTTTTATTTGCTAAAGCTAGATTTTTGTTCTCATTTTTCTTATTTTACGTTACGCAACTTGAATTCTAGTCATAAGTTCAGGTTTATATTAAACTATTTTACAAAAGACGTTTTGAACCTTTTTTTCTTATCATAATTCCTTTTTTAAAGTTTTTAATTTCGATTACTTTTTATACAATTGCTTCCGCGGGGATGATTTGACCAATAAATGTTTATTTACAAAATATCTATTAAATTTTTTTTTCATCAAGTTTAAATGCAAAACCTATGGATCTAACAATATATATATATATATATATATATATAATTGACAATTTTTATGTGTTACCTTATGGACGAGTTTTCCCTATTACTGATGGGAAAAAATTAGTAACTTTTTTTTCTGTTTATATTATTACTGTACAGCCATGATGTTTTTTTCAGTTAAATAAACATAGTTTTATTTTATATTAAACTTTTTGTGATATCTTATATCGTTTTTGTTATATATCAATTTTTATAAAATAAAAGTTTGCCCAATCATCCTCAATCTCCCCTGAATGATTCCAATATGTGACCCACTGGTAAAACATATTTACATACTGTATTTCAAAAGGGTTTAATAGACTAAATTAGCGTTGTCAGAATTCTTTATATATTTCCCATGAAATAAGTATAATCTTCAATAATATTAACTAAAACTCGTTGTACTTATCTTTATAGAAATTCAAATCTATTTGAAGATGAAAGATATACTCAACCGGAAGTCGCGCTTCAGTTCGTTATGAAAAACTACAATAAATTAGTCAAGCCAAAAGGTGTTTTACTTGTAACGTTTTATTACATAGGCATATTTTTATTATATTACAGGTACGTGATTACAGGTTATATTACAGGTGATTATATATACGTGATTACGACTCGCATTCAAAAAATTATTAAAAAAAAAACCGGAAGTTTTATTTTCTAGTTTTTATAAAAAAATTATAAAAAACTAATAAACTTATAAAAACAAAAAATTGTCTAAAAAATTGAAATAGTTTAAAATTTTTTACAATTTTATTGAAAATTTCAAATTCATTGATATTGTCATCAATAATTTGTCTATCAATGTCCTTATCAATATTTTTATGTGTATTTAACTGTTTTTGCCTTGTTACAAATTTTTTTTCTTTCTAGTTTCAGTTTTCTTTAAAGTAGAAGTGTAGGCACAATTAAGTAGTCCAAGTTGATTAGTGCGTTTTTTTGCCCAACAAACGCATTTCACTCTTTTATTTGCACTTTACAATATCAAATAACTCAGTATTTTTACAATAATCTTAGTTTAAAAGATTGTTGAGTATAGTTGGTAAAAACATTTATTTTTTTCAATTTTATAGTAACACAATAATATAGTTTATTGGTTCTTATACAGTATTTGGCAAAACATTTGCAACCAACATCGAACAATGCTAAAAAGTGTTCCTAATTTTACATGTCTTAAAAACGAAACGAACTATACTACCACAGCAAACAGTTCAGGAGTCTGGAGACATAGCATGCCATGAGCAATCAGCTGACAGGTGACAGCACACAGGCAGAATTTCGTTGACAAGTGCAATTTTGAAGAAAATTATTGGCGATTACGTCACAAAAAAGTATTTGTGATAAATATCGCGTGAAAAAATGGACCGTATCAAGACTATGTTTCAAATTTCGTTCTACGAGGAAGTTGGTAGCAGATAATAAATGTGGAAGACCGCTTTCCACCACTTTTAGAGAGGACTCTAGGATCGTCAGATCCGTCAAGAAGGATCCCTGGATATCATCAGTTGAGATACAAAAGCAATTAGAGCTGCCTGTATCGGACCGAATAATCAGACGACGTCCTGTTGAAGCTGGATTGTTTTCTCGACGCCCTCCAAAAAACCGCTGATTTCACAAAAGAAGCAGAAGAAAAGACTCCTGTTTGCTACATCTCATATTGACTGGAATGTGCAGAAATGGCGAACTGTTCTGTTCAGTGATGAATCGAAGTTCAACATCATTGGGAGCGATGGCATTTTTTGTGTACTTCGACCGGCCGGAAAACGCCTCGATTTACGTTACTGCCATAAGACCGTGAAGCATGGTGGAGGAAATGTTAGCAGAAAAACGCCCTCGTCTGGGGGTGTTTTTCTGCTAACGGTCTAGGTCCAATACATCGAAACGATGAAATAATGGACTGTTTTATGTATAAAAATATTCTGAAAGATGTTATGTTACTTCATGCTGAATGGAATATGCCAATAAAATGGATTTTCAGCAAGAAAACGATCCGAAACACACTGCAAAAGTAGTCAAGCAGTGGTTTCAAGACAACCACCTATCGGTAATGGATTGGCTACCTCAATCTCCGGGTCTCAACCCTATTGAGAACCTGTGGGAGATTGTCAACCGCAGAATTAATCGTGAAGATGTTTGTAATAAGGATCAACTGTTTGAACAAATCCAAAAGGCCTGGGCAGCGATTCCACAAAGTTTCATTGATCCCCTGATCGAATCTATGCCTTGAAGATGCAAGGCTGTGATTGACAACAAAGGATTCACCACGAAATATTGATAGCGAAATACAGCTTGGTCAACATTTTGTGGAGTTGCACTTGTTTTGTCCAGAAGGAAATCAACTTTTTTTAATACTTTTGATTAATTTAAGTATTTTCATGTACAAATAATGAACTTTGTGATAAATAAAACTTGAAGAACGTTGTCTCTAAACAGTTACATAGTTATTTTTCTAAATTGAAAAAATGCAGCACTTTTATATAAAGAAAATAAATTAGCATTATTTGACTTCTAAAACAAAATTTATTCTGGTGCAATCCAGTTAAAACGGCATAATCCGGTTAAAATGGTACAAACCGGCTTCAATAATTCTGAGCTTAATTTTTAAGATAATAATAACAATTTTCTACGGGAATAAGATCGAGTAAATTAAATGGTGGGTAAAGGTAGGGGGCCTTTGATCTTTTTGGCCTCTAATTTATTGTGTAAACGTGGTACAGTAAATAGAGTTCTGGCCAAGATGTCTGAGATTCCAGTGGCGTTGCTAGGTATGACACCGTACCTAGCAATATACCATACCCAGTGCGGTAAACTTTTTGGTGTCACCCCTCTAGACTTTCACTAACAAGGCCGACGTGACAGGTTTCAAATTTCTAAAAAAATAGTTGGGGAATAAAAAATGTAACCTTTTGATCTTGAATAAAACCCAAAAGATTTTTGTGTGAAATGAAGAAATAGCAGAGTTATTACGAAATAACAAATCATGAAAACTATTGGTTAGGCCAAATGCAAAAATAAATTAGCAAGAACATAAACAGTTCT